GTCGTGGCCAGAGAGGACAGCGAGGCGGGTGTGGCATGGCGGTGTGGGTGGGGACACTGTCGCTGCTCACAGAGCCCCCAGGACATGCAGAGCAGGAGTCATCACTGGTACTTGTCCACCAGCAGCCCGTGAAAACCCCCAGTTCTCTCTAGAGTCTGCAGGCCAGTCTGGGAGCCAGAAGCATGTAATTTCCTCAGCTGACCTTGACCACTGGACCAGGGGTCTAGATGAGGACAGAGGCCCAGCCGACGATGGGGGCCCAACTGTGGACGGGGACCCAGCTGCAGATAGGGCCTCAGCGAGGACCAGCATCCAGCCATGGCCTAGGGCCCATTTGTTGACCGGCACCCAGTTGTGGATGGGGGCCCGGCTGCAGATAGGGCCCCAGCGAGGACTGGCAGTCCAGCTATGGCCCAGGGCCCAGCTGTGGCGAGGCGCTGCCCCTGTCCTGGTTCCGTGTACCCCCGGTTGACCGGGTGGGCCAGCTCAGCAGCACTGCTCTCGGCCCTGCCCAGGGGTTTGTGCTCTTGAGCCTTTATCATCAGTGACCAGCCGATCCCGAGGACACTGCCCGCGTCCTGCAGGCTGCGCTCTCCCATCGGCAGCACACGTGTGTGCCGTGTCCTGGACCTGCGGTGTCTGACCAGCTGCGGTGGCTGTGAGCTCACGCTTCTGTAGCTGTGTCCCCACCCGTCCCTTGGAGGACTTCCACGCAGGCAGGGTCAGCCTCCCTGGAGGCACCACAGCCGAGGTCCTCATTGCCCCCACCTCAGATCATGGCCTCTAGGCCTCGGAGCTGTGACTGTGCCACTTCCCAGGCACAGGAGCTGAGTCCCGGGGGCCCACAGGGGTCATCTGCATGCAGGTGGGTGCTGCCGTGCGCCTGTGCAAGGTTTGGCCCAGAGCACCCTGGGGGAGAGCCCAGCCGAGATGCCCCATGATGAAATAATCAAGCCGTGAGCTCAGCTAATTAACTCGTTTTTAAAAGTGCTGATGTACAAACACTTGGCAATTAGTAGGCAATTAGCAAATTGTAGTTTCCCCACCTCGCGCGCCTCTGCGTCTGTCTGCTGTCCGTGGGCGCTGGAGCAGTGCTTTCTGTGAACACTAACGCCGTTACCCGTCTGCAGGTCGTCGGATTTTGGAACATCCTATGCGAAGCTCACACTGCAGCCCGGCGTCACCACTGTCATCGACAACTTCTACATCTGCCCGACCAACAAGCAAAAGGTAGGCTGTGCCGCGGCAGGACTGGGAGCTGGCCTGGCCGCCCTCTTGCCTCTGTCCATCTCAGGGGCCGTGCTGGGCCTGAGAAATGTGCTCACAGGAGCACCTGGAGAGGTGGGCCAGGAGAGGTGGGCCTGGAGCAGGAGCGCACGGACAGGGGCGTAGGGGACAGCTTCTGTCGTTGCAGTTAAGGAGGCAGTATAGGGCCTTGTGGACAGTAGAGGGTCATGGTGGGCAGTGGAGAGCTTGGATGTGGATAGCAGAGGACTGGCCATGGGCAGCAGAAGGTCAAGGTGGGCAGTTGAGGGTCATGGTGGGCAGTGGAGGGTCATGGTGGGCAGTGCAATGGAAGGCCTTGTGGGCAGCAGAAGGTCATGCTGGGCAGTGGAGGGCCTTGTGGGCATTGGAGATCTGTGCTGGGCCATGGGCAGTGGAGGGTTTTGGTGGCGGCGGAGGGCCTTGTGGGTCGTGGAAGGCCTGGTAGGCATTGGAGAGCTGGGCCGTGGGCATTGGAGGGCCTGGTAGGCATTGGAGAGCTGGACCATGGGCAGTGGAGGGCCTGGTAGGCATTGGAGAGCTGGGCTGTGGGCAGTGGAGGGCCTTGTGGGCACTGGAGATCTGTGCTGGGCCATGGGCAGTGGAGGGTTTTGGTGGCAGTGGAGGGCCTTGTGGGCAGTGGAAGGCCTGGTAGGCATTGGAGAGCTGGGCCGTGGGCAGTGGAGGGCCTGGTAGGCATTGGAGAGCTGGACCATGGGCAGTGGAGGGCCTTGTGGGCATTGGAGAGCTGGGCCGTGGGCAGTGGAGGGCCTGGTAGGCATTGGAGAGCTGGGCTGTGGGCAGTGGAGGGCCTTGGATGTGGTGTGGGCAGCATGCACTCTCGTGTCCAGCTGTGCTGGACTCGGGTTAAGGCTGTTGAGTGCCGCTGTCCTAGGAGGTGCAATGTTAACGTGACCAGCTGCTGACCGAAGGGTTAGTGGTTGAAACCCACCTGTTGGTGTTTCAGGTAAAGGCCCTGTGGTCTGGCTCTGAAAAGCCGCCCAGTGCACACCTGGGTGGACAGGCCTGCCTCATTACCACAGGTGCCCGGGCGGAGGCTGTTGTGCTCGTTTGCAGAGAGCTTTCCAGCTCCTGGTGTTGGGCAAGGAGGCCTGATGACACAGTGTGTCGATTACCCGGCTGGTACCAGCGGCTCTGCAGGGGAAAACAGTGTCCCCAATAGAAGCAGGCTGCCCCGGACCTCCCAGCGAGGGCGTATGAGTCGGGACGGCTGGCAGCGGTGGGCATGGGTTTTGGGTTTGGACACAGGTACTGAGAAGAGGGTTTGTGAGCCGTGCAGAGGGGGCTGGACCTCCCTCGCCCCTACGAGGTCCCAGAGAGGCCTGGTGGTCACTTCTGAAAAGTCAGCACTCACCATCCTGAAGGCACAGACCAGCTTGGACACGCTTGGGGTCTCAGAGTCAGCATCCACTCGCCGGCCACTTGGACCCACAGGGCAAATGGTGGTTACGTACTGGAGCGAGGGGTGGCACCAGCCCACTCAAAGGGTCAGGCCACTCAACACCAGCGGGTGTGGGGACAGCTGTGAGGGCTGGATGTCCCATCATCTGTCTGTGGGAAGTGGTGGGCACGGTCAGCTCTCCTCAATTAGACTCTCCTGATTTGTGAAGTCAACAAAAAAATCAGGCCAGTGCCTGCTGGGTGGGTCCCAGTGCGTGAAAAGAGGCCGTAATGAGGTCTGCGGGTAAACGTGGTGGACAGCCCACCGCCTGGTGGCCAGGGTTTGAGCGGGTCTCACCTGGGTGACAGTGAGTGATGGGCAGTGGGCAGCAGGCACTGTGGGTACACAGAGTGGGCGAAGCTGCAGCACTCCACCACGTACAGACACTTTGGTGCGCCTCTGTGACAGGAATCCTAATTGTCATGTAATTACAGGGTGATTAAATGGTTATTTATCCCGTGTAAGTGAGCCATTATGTGTCCTCCGGGGTCCCCGCTGCACTTGGAATGAAGTGTGGCCGTCTCCCTGGCCGACTGTGGAGTAAAACGCATCTCCCTGGAGTGAGAGCCTCAAGGTGGAGCGAGTGCTTCTGGGGCCCCGGCAGCTGGGGGACGGGGACTCCTCAGTCGATGTGTCTTTCCAGGGTGTTGTGTAGAAGGTCCCAGAGGGGAGTTCTCTGTGTGGTTGTCATGTGCTGTCACTGACTCATAGCAGACCCTCCAGTGGGTGCTTGGAGGCTGTGAGGTGCATGGGAGGAGACTGTCCGTTTTTCTGCTGAAGAGCTGAGGGTGGATTTGAACTGCCTGCCTTTGGGCTGGCAGCACAGCTCAGCTGGCAGAGCTCCCTCTGGATTCTCTTGTTTGTACCATCGAGTCAGAACTGGCCCATAGCTGACCCTCCGGCGGGTTTTCAGAGGCCCAGGAGGAGAATTCCCATCTTCCTGCCGTGGAACAGCTGATGGATTTGAACCGTGCAGGTTGGGTCAGAAGAGGCTGTGGCACTAGGGATAGAATAGCTGATGTCAGAGGGATCTTGGCTGAAAGCAGGGAATACCAGAGGAATGTCTATCTGTGCTTCATTGACTATGCAAAGGTGTTTGACTGTGTGGATCACAACAAACTGTGGCTGACACTGAGAAGAATGGGAATCCCAGAACGCTTAATTGTGCTTATGCAAAACCTATAATATACTTGGACCAGGAGGCAGTCGTCAGAACAGAGCAGGGCAACACTGCATGGTTCAAAATTGGGAAGGGCGTTTGCCAGGGATGTGTCCTCTCTCCATACCTTCTGAACCTTTATGCAGAACAGAATATCCAGGAGGCTGGGCTTTATGAGGAGGAGTGTGGCATCAGGATTGGAGAAATCCTCATCGACAGTCTTCATTATGCAGATGACACAACCCTACTTGCTGAAACAGAGGAGGACCTGAAGCACTTGCTGCAGAAGGTCAAGGACTGCAGCCTTCAATATGGATTGAGGTTTAATATCAAGAAAACAAGGATTCTTACCACTGGGCCGATTGGCAGCATCATGATAGATGGTGAAGAGAATGAGATTGTTAACGGCTTCAGTTTACTTTGCTCCACATCAACATTCTTTGTACTGGCAGCCAGAAAATTAAAAGAGGAATTGCACTGGCAAAGTCTACTGTCAGAGACCTCTCCAAAGTGCTGAAGAGCAATGATGTCAGTCCAGAGACTAAGGTGCACCTGATCCAGGCCAAGGTCTTTGCAATCATTTGCTATGGATCAGAAAGCTGGACAATGACTAGGGAGGATAGAAGAATCAATGCCTTTGAATTGTGGTGCCGGAGAAGAGTATTGAACATACCATGGAGAGGGTGAGACCAGGCTGCTCCTTGGAGGCAAGGATTCTGAAGCTCTGTCTGACATACTTTGGACATGTTGCAAGGAGTGACTGGTCCTTGGAGAGGGATGTCATGCTTGGGAGGGTGGAGGGACAGTGCAGGAGAGGAAGACCCTGGATGGGATGGATTGATTCAGTGACTGGGGTCATGGAGGTGAGTGTGTCAGAGACAATAAGATTGGTACAAGACAGAGCAGGGTTTAGGGCTGTTGTACTCAGGGCATATAATAACAACAACCACTCTTAGGGTGGCAACACATTCCCTACCACTAAACCACCAGAGAGGACCAAGCCCACTGTCGTCAAACGGGCTCCCGCTCACAGCAGTCCGTCCAGAAGTGTCCGAGGCTGATACGGCCCACCTCAGTCATGGTGGGTTTGAACCAGCAGCCTTTACCTGCAGGTGCATAGCGCGTAATGGTTCGTAAAGGAGAAAGGGCCCGAGATCATACAGACGTGAACAGAGAGATTCACTTCAGGCAAACTGCGTCTGTCCGGGGGCATTTCCCAAATCTGCGGGTTAGGATGCAGGCTTGAGGCCTTGCAGCCTAGGCCGAGAGTCATCTCCAGAGAACCATCTGGGAGTGGCGAGAGGAGTGCAGGGTCCGCAGGCGTGGGGGCATTGCTGGAGTGCCCTTTAGACACTGGGTGCAGGCCACACCCCCACAGGCATGGCCCCCTTCGGCTGATTGGCTGCTCACACAGGGGTGGATGGTTACGTCATAAGATGTCACAGAGGAGCACGGGTCCAGTGCCTGGGAGACCAGTCAAGGGAGAAACAAGCTGAGGTAGGGGACACACCACGGCCCCTCTGGGAGCCGACACCAAGGAGGAGGGGGCGCGCACTGACACGCGTGCCGGGGATGGGGGTGGCCGGTGTGGGCACAGTCTGTCCTCCCTGTCATCAGTCCCTCCAGTCTCACTGGCAGTGATGAAGGCTTTAAGAAAAGCAGGGAGCGATACCACCTTGAACGTCAGCACCTTCCCCTGATGGGGAGCTGGCTGCCCACTCCCTCTGAGGCCCAGCTGGCTGGCTCTGTCGTTTGGACGCCTGCTGTCACCGTGCTCCTGGAGGAGGTTGGACTGTTTCTGCTCTCACGTCCAGCACCCCGGCACTCCCAGGCCTGCAGGGGGGAAACGGGGTGCGGAGCTACCATGGAGAGGTTGATCCTGGACTGATCAAGCCCCATTCAAGCAGACCAAGAGGAAAGCAGGGGCTGTGAGGAGTCCATCTCCTGGTGCACCTGGGAAAGACCTGCCACCCAGGGGCTGCAGCCGGCCAGTGTTCTCTCATGGGTCAGGACCCAGGGCACCTGCTCCCAGAGACATCCTCTCTTGGCTTGGGGGAGAGGTCCTCATGGTCAGTTCACGAGAAAGAGGGCACTCATGGTCACCTGGGGGAGAGGACCTTCCTAGTCAGCTCAGGGGGGAGAGGTCCTCACGGTCAGATCTGGGGAAAGACTTTCAAGGTCAGCCTAGGGAAGAAACCTCATGGTCAGCTCTGGGAAGAGATCCTTGTGGTCAGAGCAGGGGAATGACCCTCATGGTCAGCTCTGGATAGTGACCCTCATGGTCACTTTGGGGGATAGGCTGTCATGGTCACCTCAGGTGAGAGGTCTTCATGGTCAGCTCGAGAG